TGATAAATTGGAAGGGGGTCATTCAGTGGAGCTGCCAGCATAAAATTGACAATCCGCAAAAATTATGAGCTTCCTCAAAGTTATAAAATCATATCACTCATATTAGCCAAAGGTTTAGCTTAGTGGCAAATAAAACGAAAATGTTGAGTGTCTACATTCATGTTCGCAGTTGAATGTTCTTTAAATTTTTGAAAGCTTTTATTTCAAAAGTTTAAACCAACTGCTTTACGTGCACCAAAATATCAAGTAGTTGGATTGCAAAAGAACGTTACTCCATTGTTTACCCAATTAATTCCATAAAAGCAAAACAGCTGACCCAAGAAACAATACTGGCGGTTCCGGTTAAACTTCGTAGCCAAATGGCATTCCTTTCTCCAACTCTCGAGTCCACAACATGCATCCGTCCGCAAGCAAATCCAGCGTTTTGTGACAGTGACACTCAGGTGAATGTGCAAAGACACAATTATGCATTTTGGATGCGGAGTATATGCAAAGCAGGATAAACCGTAAAAGAACACAGTCAATTTGCGATCATGTGTCTCTAGGCGTACACTTAGCGTCGAGGACTCTCGAAGGATGCGTCAACTGCCTTTACATTTATGATGGCTTCGACGATCAAGTTTGCTTTACATTCTATTGACTACTCTGGTTGTTTTTTGCACCACTGATAAATTATATGTATTTAAGAAAATTATGACCGATCACTTAGGCAAAGTATGCCATAAGGGTGCTAAAAATTTGGAACTATTACTAGACTTAGGCAGGATGGATAACGACATTATAACACGATTTTCCGTTCATTTACAAATAATACAGTTATTTGCACTTTTTAAAAGAGCTACGCGGAGAAGACCCAGATTCCTTTTTGTGACAACGAAGAGATAGCTTATTCCCGCGCCGACAATGTTACGCGCACCATCAATGAGCAAAATAGTCTATCACTCGCACCCCAGTGCTTTCTGTGCGTTGAATCACCCATCACTATGTGATTTAATTGTATTTTTCACTGCAAAACACAATATCCTTTGCCCTCGTGGAACGCCTAGTGCACGCCTATCTTAGCCTCGTGACAGAGGCAAATTATGACTACCTCGTTTATCAGGTGAGCGACAGAGAACCTTCCAAACACTTGCATTTGCGACTGCACTGAAGTCTCAGTGAACTCCACCAAATAGACTTTTACCGACTCCATTGAGTTTCGCGAATCGGATCAGATAAATATGCTTGAGAAAGTGTGCAATTGAAGAAGTATTGCTTCTAGCAGCAATGCATAAATGCAGTTCTATGCTTTGCTCCCAAATAATATTCATAAGGCTATTTGGTGTCTAATACTTTTCCTTCTAAGGCAAATAATGTGGATTATTGTACCAACGCAACGATTTAGCAAAGAGCAAATTTGGTGACTCCTTGGCCCGAGCACCTTTCACATGCGAGAAGTGGTGTGGCTAGCATTATGCTTCACAGCCACGCAGTTTGTGATCCTCATACAAATTTGGCACAGGTATACGCCGTTACTGAATGGCACTCGTGAATGTCGATGTTTGTGTGCAGCTATCTGCCATCTCAATCTTCTTCTTTCTTATTTACCAAAATAGGCTTACGGTTTTGAATGCAAGCAGTAAAAACCATAAACTATTCCACGTATTCCAATAGTTCCTACTAGGAGTTATGTTTAATTACTGATATGCTAAGGCGATCGAATGGTTTGACCTCGCTCCCACAAAATTAGTGCCGTTGTTTCACTTTACTGGTATACTGAGATTTGTTGGCGATCATCTTGAATAATCCCTATTTCCATCACAAAAAACGCGTCAATTCAATTTGAAGTCAAAATTGTAAGATGTCTGTCCTTTGTACATAATTACGGGTGATTGTATACACACTTATGCTTTCCTTTATGGTTTACAAAAAAACCACCTTTTATGTAGCAAAAATCATCTTTCGCTTTTGATTTCGCTGGTCCGATAGTGGTGATTTCTACATAATGGAAATGATTGTAAAGCAATCGATTAGTGGGCTCTTCTTCTTCTTACTGAAATCACAAAGCGACAGATGTGAATGTTCTAAGTTTCGGATTCTGAACAGGGAACTGATTTTTCACGGAGAGCATCAATGTTACTCCATTAGTCAGCGATGAATGCACGTGAAGGTAGTGACGTTGGCATCTTTCAATAGTTTTCTCATTTACTTTCCACTGGTAGAAAGTGTACGACACCTTAATTAGCCAAATCCTTAAAGTCGAGCTGTCCTTTTGGAAATTCGATGATGCGAAGCAGAGCTGATTTGCGCTAGAGAGGCATGCGATTCATGGGTGGGTCAAAAAATTGAAGTCTATTGCATTTGCTTTTGTCACTTGTTCGTCATTATCAGCACTCATCTAAATGTGTGGGTGGATAGCTAATATTCAAGGCAGTTTCTTGCATTTCAGTTGGCTGCAGCTTAGGTTACATGACACTGATTGGTGAGTGATTCGTGCTCGTCACTTGAATCGATGCTTAGTAAAATGGGCTCCAGAGACGTTGAAAAGAGCTCACTTTTGACACACTCACATCACAATGCCGCGATCTCAGAAATCTGTAGAAAAGGCATTAAAGAAGAAGAATGAAAAGAGTAGCAGTAGTCAAATTAACAAGAATTACGAATTCCGAACGGAGGCAACCTTGATTAACTATGGAAAGGTTCCGAAGGGAACCTCTTTTTCTGCAAAAGAAGTGAAAGCTCAAGCCTTTCCATCAAAAAAGTCCGATAAGACAAGAAAGCTCTCCGAAGCAAAGATATTCTCAAATAGGATCGAATTCAAAGAAAAAGTGATTCAGAGTAGACGGACTAAAAAGGTCCTCGAGTATGACAGCATCAGGCTACTGGAGCAGTTACCATCCGATTGTCGTATGGTCTTTGTGAACTATGAAAATTCCAAGAATGGTTACTTTTTGGTGCTGGGTCTTTTGGATGCAAGTCAAGCAACGAGATTTATGAGTTTGGTGAGAGAAAATAATCCAGGCACAGAAATTCGTTGGGCTGACGTGGACTCAACCACAGATAATCGGAAACGCATAGCAGAACAAGCATCTGAATCTGTTCTAAGTGATTCCACGGCTCAACTAACTTATCATGATTCTGAGAGGATCTGCAGACGCAATTCTTCACCTTCGCTTTCTTCTAGATCTGAGTCCTTCAGGGCCAGACCGTGGACTGCGACAAGTTCGTACATCTGTGCAGACCCTCACCTTGACGATGGAACCGTCTATTCTAGCGGACCGCCCGACAATTACATCAGTCAAACGGAAAAAACTCGCAGGAAACCCCGTCGGTGTAGTAGTTACGACTCATTTGACCTTTCAAACAACAGCGGGTTGCATCTGGGCGCTAACAAGCTAACTAGTCAATATTATTATGTTGGGCCCAGTGATGAAGAGGACTCAATCTCCGACAACGTGTACCGTGAAAAACTTAAAAGCAAGAAATCTCACCATCACAAACATCAGCATTATGCAATGGGTGATGAGGTTAGTGTTTCTATGACGCCCAGTTCAGTTGTTTCAAATATTGATTACTATTCCAATGATTGCCGCAATGTGATGAAGGATAATTCTGTGAAGGGATCTCCAGCGAAAAAGACATCTACTACTCGAAAATCCTCTTATCGTCCAAAGTCTAGACAGCTACCGCTTTCGGAGGCTGAGCGAAACAAAGGTAGCTGGCACAGCGACGTGCTTTTTGTCACTCCTACGAAAAATGGTGGTGTCAAGGTTTCCGCTGATGGACCTGTGATGCTCTACACCGCAACTCGGACTAATGTAAACCGAAGTGACAGCAGTTCTTCTGATGATGACAGTACTTCAGATGCGGATGGTGACTTCTACTCCTCTGACTCAACGCTTACTCTGGAGAGCCCCATTAGAGATCCTATGCGTCTCGACTTGGAGGCCGACTACTCCAATGGACGCTAATGGATACAGCACTCCCGTTGATTTTACTGTGACTGTTTTCATTCCCTCCAAAGTCCTCTTGTCACATTCCCCTTTTGCTTTTGTACATGGAACAAGCATCTCATATATACGACTCAAAACTTTTGGATTAGTGTACTATGGGGAATGCATAGATCGCTGTAATGTTTCTTTCATGTCAACAGTATGCTCTTAAGATTCATGCCTTGTGGAAATGTCTGCAATATGCAGCGATAAAATTTCATCAAATTTTACTTGTGATAAGCCGTTAAATGTTGTTTATGTATATTGTAGTTTAGGCTTTTTTATATGTCATGTCTCTTATTTTGCAGGTTCATTGAATGGACGCACAGGCGCCATTAATTTCACAACGTCTGTGTACAAAGGATGTATGACATCGACATCTCGAAAATCCCAATGGTACCAAGTCTTCTAAAGCACCCATCCCCTCTTTCACATCTGCGAGTGTAATCCAATCATCAGGGGGCTAAAATAAGCTCATGTCTCGCTCAAGATAGCTATTATCTTAAGGATCGTTCCTCACATATTTTGGTGCTCCATTTTCTTATAAGCAAGTTCCACCCTTCATTAACTTTTCTTTCCTGATTAAGCGCTAAATACGCAATTTTGATGTAAACATAGTCTGTAGCTAAGTTTTGTTGTAGCGATGAACTTTTGAGCGTATTTTGCAGAAACACTCTTGGAGATGGAGTGACAGCGCCTACCAACGATTCTTTCTGCAAAGCATTCGACTTAGTAGCCGCTTCTGCCTTGGAACTATAGTTATTGAGGAAATCGCTTATTTGTTGCTAATATTTGTTCAGGCTTTCGAGATAAAGGAAGAATAGTAAATATTAGTTTTGATTAATGGAGCGTCAACAGACTCTCCAGCAGAAGTGATCAGACATCAATCAAACGCTGTCAACTTGGCGGCGGTATTGCATCAATGTCTAATTGTGTGATGCGCTTAAACTTTGATTCAGTGATTCTCCTAAACGATATAGCTTATCAAAGCTCTTCTATATTGTGACATGACTGGTTCACCCTGTGTGAAATCTATTATTCAGAGTTACACTATTTCACCCCTCTTGAATGGTAGATTTTTTGCAAACGCCATAGAAAACAGGCCGAGGGAACTCAAGAATTCCCACCATCACTCTACCCAGGGTTAATCCTAATGAGAATGCGAATAGGGCCGGTCACTTTGTTCCATAACTGTGGGTTTTATGTTGTAAGTCATTGATCGTACTGATCCCAATTGTCAACCACCTCTTATTGGTGGCAGAATTATTAGCTCAAGCGATTGCGTGTCAATGATTAGTCGACTTCCATAGCCATGTGTGAAGGGTAGTTCATATAGCTAAAGTTCGCTCCCACCGGTTAAAAGCACGCCATCTTCACAGATCGCACCCTCTTCACAAATAGAGTATTTGTATCGACGCTCTTACCTAGCCAACTACGTAATATGCGACTTACGAATGTTAATCGAATTTCAGAAATAGACTAGAAGAGTTTTTAATTAAAATCGAGGTTAACCTTAATACAGACCCATTCTTTGTACCTTAACAGTTCATTAATTATTCGATGTTTTGTTTTAACGCCTATTAGATAATGTTCAAATTTTAAATTAACGTAAATAGAAGGCCACTGCAAAGTAGTCAACCAATGAATTCCACTGTCTCCAAACCAATCGTTTAAAGGAAAAGCTTGCAAACTAAGCCTCCCGTTGAGCCACTACCAATCGCCGCATTTGGTTGGACGGTTTTTAATCTGTGGTCACAAATGCACCCGTTTGAGTGGATGCAAGCAATCTTGATGTCAGAGAAAATCTTTAAAGAACTTCTACCGGACCTCAGTTTCTTTGCTGTGGTTATATCGGGGTCCCTTTCCATGCTCTTACCTCTTAGCATTATTTGGTACTTTAAATATTGCTAGCTAAATAGCCTGCAACTCTTCCACATTTCAAACGCGGTATTTTTCAGCTTTGGGTGATCATGTAAGCAGTGGTTTGTGTTCGAGAGCCGAAAATTTCTCTTTACCCTTATCATCTACTATCAATGGGTAACGTTACTAACCCTTCTTTCTTGTGATTGTCGCTTTGGAGCGGCAGACTATGGAAATACGTTTTGTATGCACGCAGCGGAATGTCGACTGACACTGACGCTTGAGGTCTTGCATTCGGCTAGTAGATAGCGTCCTCATTTCTGTGCGTCAAAGCAGAACGGAGTCCGTTGTATTATAATCTTGACAGAGTTAATTCGAATAAGGCTCAAAACTGCTATTATTGGTTCATGGGAAGTCATTGACGTTGATGATAAGTCCAGTTGACTTAAGTGCATGAATTCATTGGTGCAAAACGGACTCTAAACCGGCGTAAACTTTGCATATGTAGTCATCATGGGGAAATATGGTCGGTGTATAATGTCCCTCCTGCCTATAGGTTCTGGAGTTTCTGTCTTGTTGGCAGCTGCTTTGGATCCTCTGAAGTTGAGAAAATGGTTTGGTTAAGTTGTTGAGATGTAAATTAAGCGGATTTGAGATATAGTGCTGCTTTGCACTTGAAGTCTTAAATCCATGCTACGCCATGACCTGATCATGTTCAATATGAAGCATATCAGCTTTGCAAAGGCGTGGCTTGGTGATTGGCATTCGTGTTTAGTCTCCAACGCCTTCAACACGTCAAACAGCACGTGCTAAACCACTTGCATTTTAAAGTGAGGTAAAGTCTAAGCAAGGCTTTAACCAGGTACTTTCCAGCTTCTACGCGCATTTATATGCCGATGGACTTTATCGACAGGTCCAACGTCTTCACTATGTACCAACACTTTCGAATATGCATATTTTGGCTTGAGTATTTAAAATTCGCTCCAGCCTAGGTTTTGTAGTTTATACTCCATTGCCTCCTTAATTTTTTTGTAATTCCACTATTGCGATTGCGTATACCTAATAGGTTAAGAGATGGTAGACTCGATCAAACTTCTCAAGCTCGGAACCGAATTGAATGTTGCGGAAAATCTTCAACACAACCGATTCACGAGTTCCGATAATGAATACTTAAAGGAAGCCCTAATTGTTCAAAATAATAATTTTTCCTTAGTGCTCCGATTTCCCACACAACCATTATAACTAACAGAATTACACTAAATACATTAAATTACACTAAATATGTACACTACAGAGCCCGCCCTGCATGCAATTTTAAAATCAACATGATTCACATGCTTTCTTGGTCTGTTTGGTTTGAAAGGCTGTCCTTGTATCGGCATTTAACTACCAATTCTAGTTGTTAGAATGCTAAAATCGCATTTGCGAAAGCCCTGACAGTTCCTAATGACTCTCACTACCCATAAAACGTGTACCATAGCATGTTTCACCACGTTGCGGTCCCCTGAAAGATCCCATAACCATGTAAAAAGGCCATCAGTCGGGTATAGAAAGTCTGCCTCTACCCCACTCCGGAGTGTGGGTCTATATCAGCAATTATTTTACACTGCACACGAACAGGTACAGTAAAAACCAACGCTCACAACATGTGATGCCATCAACTTATTAATTATTACATTCAACAAAGAATGGATGGAACGACTCGGTTCTACTGCTCCAAGTACAAGCTACATGGGGGCGTGAAAACACAGTAATACCTAAGCAAAAAGCTTGAGGCGTTCAACGGCAAGCACTGCTCTGCTGAGCGGGACGTCGGAGGCGAAATGGGACACCAAGAGTCCCACTCCGGTGGAGCGCAGTACGATACTGTCAGCGTGTGCTGTAAATGTGTTCTCGGATTGCGGAAATGCCACACACACCAAACTAGAGGGCAAAACGTGATATGACACTTTAACTCTATCAAGTATCAGAGTCCGATAGGTCTGTGTAATGTCTCTTTAATAATTATTAATATACCAATTACTCAGTTCGAAGAAAATGTAAAAAAAGAATTTAAAAATAGAAGTAACTTAACTGATTTTCGAATCATTTTTTCGCAACACTATGAAATTCATGTATGATAGGACGATTACTACGATTAAACATTGATACGGCTAGAAGTGGGCAGTCCGAAATGGCAGGACAGAAGGAGAATGAAGGGAGAAGCGTGTCCAGCATCGTACAAATGTGCTGCTTCAAATGATTGATCATTTTGAAATCGAACAATTTCAATAAGCAGAATTACCTTCCCTCAGGAGTGAATTTGAGGGGTTTGAAGACACGGAACTGTGGGTTTTTACATGGAGTGTCCAACTCATGCTGGCGCCATTGTTGACTGGTGGAGAAGTAGTTGTCCTCTAGAGAAGGCACAGCTAAGAGAAGGCGGAGGTCTCGTAGAATTCGCAGGCGATAGACCTCGCTTGTGTCGTGGAATAAGGCTTGGAGTTGGACAAGGCTAGTACCACCTTCCTTCAAATTAAAGTTGCGCAAACTGCCTGCCCGCATCACCACCTCCACTCCCGTCTTGCCACCCACCAACAGCGCGACGCCTGACGCAGGACCGGTGGGACCAATCAAGCGGTCTGTTTGAGGAGGGGTAGACCAGTCGGTACATACATATAAGTATAAGCATTTGATTCCGAAGCCACACAAGTTATTATGCATCAAATCGACAAAGCGGAATGTGCTCACCGTCCCAATGTTTTTAACATAAATATTACTTTGTCACCAAGTGTAGAACGTTGATAGCCACCAATATCACCGGTTTTCGTGAAATGAAAATGCCGTAATGCTAATGGCAATCTAACTTCAATTTTTTTTTCTTTTGATTCACAATTAAGATAAAATCTTCAAGAGAGGTTTTCGGGATATGAGGCGTCGTAGCCAGCCTTTTATACATCGACTTGTTGTACTGAATATAAGTAAGTACGAAGACCAATTAATAGGTTGCTTCCCACTGTCTGTATTTTATAAAAAAATGCCTACATTTGCATACTTTCTAGGTCTAAATTTTGTTATAAAAATGCCCTTTAGTGTATTGCCGCACCTGTTGGAGAAACGGTGCCCACTTCCAAATAGTCCAACCCACAATGCAAAAAACCATCTACAAGTTTCCAACATTATCTGCGGGCCGAGACTTCCCAAGTGTAAATCTGTCCCGAGTCACTACATAAGTGATGCCTTACTGAGGTCATTCTCAGCTCATAACCAGCAAGTATCAGTCCTACTCATTTGAATTTCAGACTGACGTGAACTCACACGTCACTTCTAGTGATTCAGTTGTTTGACCATTTTCGCAAAAAATCTATGCGTTAACTCAATGAAATTATTTACTTAAAATAAAAGATCGATGAAAACGAACAGATTTATTCATCATTAGAAAAAAAGATCCATTGAACTTTATTTTTCTGGTATTTATTGCAATTATTTTGATTTTGCAGCCTCTAATGGCCCTCAAAAATGTGGCAAATCAACTAACATATCTGCATGCAAGTGGACACTGTTGTGTTCACTTGGCTTTTAATCGTGGCTGATTAAATGGAACGAAAATAAATGTGGGCATTATAATCGTACCTGTTCTTTTGGAAGCCAAACACCACAAGGAAACACACACTCCTGCCTTGACAACCCGCAGTTGCCTCACTTTAACCTTTTGACATACGCATGGCTATCCGATGGGTGGACATTTTGGCAAAAGACGGTGACTACCTGAGTACGATATTTCGATGGTGCTCAGCTGTCTATTTATCTATCTATCTAGGGTGTACTCTGCCACTTTACCACTTAAGTGTAATGGACTAACGCAGCACTGCCGACCAAGATAAGGTCTCTTCCATTTCACTTGCAATCCTCAAACGCGCGTAAGACACCACTGATTCGTGAATGTGATGCTTTGGATGAAGTGTTAAATGATAAAGCCCAAAACAATAACCTAGTACATCATTTGTCGCCATGGCGACAACTTACTGATTTAGAAATAAAGGTGACTAAAAAACTAACGTTAATGCACTTGAATTTTGTCAAGATGAATGCTGAGACTCCATTTTCATCAGCCGTGAGTCTAAATTTCCACAAATGCATCTTAAAAAGTAGTAGTGAATTGCGACTTGAAACCAGTAGTACCTCATCCTCTTTTACTGAAATCTCGATCGTAAGCATGAAACACCAACAAAGTGTACCATTGAGTGAAAAAGCAACATTACGCACTTATAGTTTGGTGTGCCCAGAGCGTGATAAAAAGTTTGTCTGATGGGGTTAGAGTAAAAACAAACAATAACAAGAGAGACACAATCAGTCAAAAGGGCAAAACATCCAATGATTAACAATGCCTCAACCAATTTTCATGAAGCAACCCACGCCTGTTCGCTCCTCTTGGAATGTTAAAAATCATTACAAGAGAGCACTTTCTGTTGGACCGCGTGGCAAACAATAAAACTTGTTCAAAGCATGCCTCCAGTTTGTAGTCAAATTCGAGCACCACAACTTTTACACCCATCAAAGGCATTAGTTATTTGGATACTTCTCCCTTAATGACTAACATATTAGACGACAGTCCAACATTGTTTAGAAACGTGCCTTCTGATAGGGACCATTACCGAACTAGTGTAAATAGCTTTATTGAAGATCCAGCGTCCACCTATCCATGCTACACTATCTCATGTTTAGCATCAAAAAAAGAAAGGTGCGATTGTTTTAGGTGCAGGAAAACAGACAAGCAAGTGTTAAACCTGTCTAAACATGCCTCCCGGACCCTGTGGCCTTGGTACTGAAATCCAGTTGATGCCCTTAATAAAATCTGCATTTCTATCAGAAAAAAGTGTGACGACGGATTCGCATTGGTAGCAATGAACTTTTAAGGTAGCCTAGCAATCCTTTTGTTAATACGCAAACTAGCATCGTGTGTAATGTGATGATGGAAAGGAATCACCAATGACGCAATTCTGCTTTTATAGACAATGAATAAATGGCACGTGGTACCTGCATCTGATTCTGCATTTAACGAAAGAGGGAGGATCTCATCCAATCAAATACCAACAAATGCATTGGACTCTGCTAAGGACCAAAATATTACTGGAAGGAATTGTGAAAATGGATCTACTGATGTGTCAACAAGTAACGTAAACATTGACTCATTTGAAAGTCATAGAAACCGAGAGTAGGAGACATAACTTCATGATGAAGATGTTGAAGGAAAAGGAAACAATGCAAAATCTTAACTTCTATGCATATCAGGAGCACATCAGTATGCGTCTACGTTGAAACACTGGATTCGATAATACCATTCTGATGCCAAGTGAGTAAGCACAACCAAATCTGAAAAAACCGATGTTGCTCCATGTTCACCAATGTATGCCAACAAAACACACCATTCAGTGTATTCACCCTTGTACTCAAGTGGGTGATCATTTAGCAACTTATGCACACTTGCCGTGAATGCATTTGTTTGTACAGACTCGCAACTGAACGTAGTCCACTGACCTAGCACATATGAATGAGGACGGAAACGCACCAACCTCTTTACTCGATGGGATTCAAAACTAATCAAGCAGATTGTCGCAAATATGCAAATATGTCATCGAGCGTATGAGCATGCAGTTGTCAGTAGATCAACAGGAACTTTAACATATGTCTACCAGTCGGCTAAGTACGTCCAAGAGTATCCAAAATCGAATGGCCACGCAAAAAAGGGATGCATTCATCAAATGGAAGCATCAGCAAATAGATATATCCAAGTGGAATTCATAATCTCGGAATCAAGTGCGCCTTGTAAATAATGCAGATAGAAAAGTAGCGAAAATAGAACACGACGTGGTGACTGGGGAGGTGAGGAAAAAATGAAAAGTCTGTCGGGAGCAAAATAAGTGGTTTTGAAAGGCCTCAAAGGCAAAGAAGGGTTTTAATCAAACGTCCACAGGTCGAGTAAAACGCCTTGATCGTTGTCGGACAAGGTTTTGACGGAGGGCAACGGCTGCAGGGGACATGTTAGCACCGGGCGGGGGAGGCCGATTCCGCACCCGTCTTTGATGACCACCTGAGCTGCCTGGGCCGAAGGCGGCACCACTCTTAAGTGATTCCATGAGAGTATCGATGACGTTTCCGTCTTCTTCTGTTGGTTTCCGAGTGACACCGTTACCACTCAAACCAGCTGCCCGCAGACGTGCTTTCTCCTCTTCACGTTTTTGCCTCTCTTCAATCAGACGCTTCTGCTTCTCCTCAAACTCCCGCTGTTGCTGAATCTCCGCCGCTGCCTGTTTGTAGGCCGCAATGAATTTCTGCAGGTCGGAGAACATATTTTCCATATTGTACTTAGTTGGGTCGAACGCAAAGTACCTTGCCACGTCCTTGAAGCGTTCCTGCATGCGTTTAAACATGTTCCCAAGCCCCTCAATTTGCTGCTGAGCTTCTGCCAAAAATTGCTTCATCACAGTAGGGTATATGTCATTTGAGTCATCACTATTGTAGGTTCGCAAATCATTTTCAAGGGCTGTTGCTGAACGCTTCATCTCCGCAATAGCGGCTCCAGTTGCATCTTCAGAAAAATGTGAAGCACCCTCTATATAGGTTAAGTCACCATCGAGGCCCAGAACAGTGTCTGGAAACCTTTTTTCAATGGCTCGAATAAGAAAGTGGAGGAGTGTCGTTTTGCCAACCACATCTTTAGTGTCAGTCAGCTTCGGTAGGAAGGAAAGGTGAAACCCGACAGATTGAGCATTTCGTGATCCAGCGTTAAGGTAGTTGCCGAAAAGAAGGATAAGTTCGATTACCCGCACAAGGTGCTTGCTTTGTCTAAGCTCCTTCAGTGCCTCAATCACAGCCAAGATTTCAGGTTCAATATCATTAACTTTCTCCTGAAAGCGCATCTTAAAGAGGATTGACTTGAGTCGTGGAATCAACTTCTTTATGGTTCCCACTTTGCAAATGAATTGTTCGGGCTCGGCAAGTTCACTATAGTCGGCCGTCATGTCAACCACTTGTTTTATCACTTCCGGCTCTGGTAAGGCCTTCAGCAATTGTTCCACAATATTGGGAGTTAAAAGGCCTTCATCCACTTCGACAATGCGTCTGCGCAACTCGTCATAGGGAACTTTGAGTGACCCCAGGAGGATGGAGAGCGCTTGTGCTGATTTGCCATCCAGACACCTGATTTGCTTCGCCTTTCTTGCAAGAGCAGAGGCAGCACCCACGGCTCCACCGATTCTTCCACTATTCTCCTCAGCACCACAAACGATACCTTCGTTCTCGGTAAATTTCTTCGGCGGTTTCGTATTAAAGTTATCAGCAAGCGATTGCAGCAGATCGTCTGAAGCCAATTCGTTTTCCTGCATCTTCACCCAAACCGAATCCTCAGCCAAGTCTTTTTCATTTACCTTTTCCCAATTTGCCTTTTTCATTGGCACCTTTGGCTTGTAAATCGGCTTCGCCTTCATACCATAAGGTAAAGGCGGAGGCGCCGTGCTGAGACCCGAAGGAGGTGGTGGTGCCCCTGGGGGACGTGAAATGCCCGGTGGTGGTGGTGGAGGTGGAGGTGGAGGTGGGGGTGGAGGCGGAGGGGGACTGCTGGAACTGGAAGGCGGTGGTGGCGCTGGTGGTGGAGGAGGCGCAGGTGGTGCTCCAGATGAAGCTTGTAGAGGGATTCTTGATGCCCCACCACTTCCTCCTTCAGCAAGCCCTACCCTCAATCGCAGCTGTTCCAATGTCGCTTCGACTTCCTGCTTCTCATGCAAAGCCTGATCAAGCTTCTTTTGCAGTTCACTAACCTTGGCACTGCTACCACCATCTGACTGTTTGTAAGCGTCCATCAACGCATTCACAGTACCCTCAATGTCCAGTCGCAGAAGACCCAACGAAGGGTCAATGTCGACACCATCAGTTTGTAGCACAACCTGACTCACAAGCTCATTTAGTAGATTGTAGTAGTGTTCTCGGTAGGGTTCCTCTCGCACAAACAATAGGTGTTGAAGAATAGAGAGGAATGACTTTTCTGACGGTGTGTTGGCCAGCGAGCGTTCAAGTAGCTGAAACACTTGACGCGGGTCATTAAGATCGGCTTTAGCCACCTCAAAGCGTTCAAACAGCTCGTCTGTGTCTGTGTCTGAAAAGCCCCGATAAATGGCCACATGATTTGAAACGTTAGGATCAGCCGATTTTTCCAATTCACACAAGCGCTGTGATAGCCCCAGTTTACCGAGTTCTAGTCGTAGGTGTATGCGATAGTCAAGTTCGACAGTCTCCTCTGACAAAAATCGAGCGGAGACGAGGACGTTGATCAACTGCAAACAAGCGCAGGCAAGCTCAGGAACAGCCAAGCCATTAATTAGAGGTTCAAAACGAGGTGGGTGATTAGCAGTGAACTCGGCAATAAATGTCAAGCCTTCCAAAACCTTTTGATGGCCCTTTAGACTGCACATCGCCATTGTTGACAGTAGCTCGAGAGCACACTCCATCAAAGGAATTTCATGGATATTTAGGCATCGTGCGATAAAAGTCGATGCGGTCTCATGATCAACCAAAGCATACAAACCGTAGCCACAGTTTCCCAGAGCTCGAATGCATTTCAAGCTCAAATAGGTGACTGTTGTGCTTTGAGTGGGAGCAAGAAATTCAAGTAAAAGATTCAATCCGTCATTTTCGGTGTTATTAAACTCCTTCACCCAACTAACCCGACCATTCGAAAGAGCGATTCTAAGGGACTCAAGGGTCTTGGAAACCTCCTTTTCGTTAAAGAGTCTAGCATTACGCAGGTCCTTGCAATACTGCACAGGGCTGGCAATTGTCTTTGTTATTCCATAATTCGATGATGCTAGCATACTCAACTTAAACTCGAGAGGTTTGACGAGAAGAGGAGCACGTTTCTCCGCTGACAAGTTCATATCTTCCAGCATTGATTCAAAAAGCTCATCAATCTTCTCTGGAGTTAAGTGGTTGAGACTGCTATCTTGCGAGAGTCGGGGTGCTCCGTTAGGACCCAGGGTTCCAGCATAAGCAGTGGGACCGGCACTTGACTCCCGGCCTCTGTTGTAACGCGATGATGTGGAGGGATCTACCGAGTACGTCTCAGCAGCCCCACTACCTCCCCCACTTACATCTTTCTTGCGTAGCGAAAGCATATTCTTGAAGCCCTTTTTCGAATCTTTCTTTGATTCTCTTCTGCCATCCATGATTTACAACAGATCTGTAAAATGGATGCAAAGAATGATATTGAACGATTCAAGTGAGGAAAAGAAGAGATTGACGCGAAACACCACACCAGAAGAACGTGCAAAGAATAAACTCAGTGTAGATGGACTACACGTCGGTGTTAAACAACAAAAAGAGGATTGATGGACTTCAAGCCATGCTTGACTAAGGCAACGTTGTTCAAAAATGTTAAAAAGCATGCTCCCAAAAAATTCCCTGATCTCAATAACGGTTATGCATGAGAACGTAAGCGCACTATTACATAGAGGGCCTTAAAGCAGAATGAAATCGAAATCCATGAAAAACCTAATATACCTTAAATTCTATTGACATCAATTTAGCCCACTTCGCGTACAGGAACTAGCCCAATGTCTACATACCGGACCCAGTATAAGAAGTGTAAAGCCTAGCAAATGTTTTCATCGAAAGCACCGAAGATCGATGCAAGCATACGTAATGAGGAAGACTGCACAATGAATGGTGAACGATTGGCTATGAGCAATGCATACAGCAGAGAACTGCAAAAATGCGCAGCACAATCCAAGAAAAAGCCAAATGAAGGATCCCAGACCAAATGAAATAATCCTCACCACTGTACTTTGTACATCTCATTTTAACGAACAAATACTCCTTGAACAAGTAATTCCGTTACTCACATGCAACCAAGAAAAATTTTTTCCGCGCTCAATCTTCTGATCAACAAATATATTAGTTTATCTGGAAGAGTGGGGACTCAGTAATAATGACTACGCGTCAGCGCACAAAGCCTACTCAGTTTAGTTCCTGGTTAGTATATTGTGAGCAGAGCCTGGACAGTCGCGCTTGTGACATAAGTAATACAGTAAATAGTGTCCTTAAAAGTTGAGATAAGCCAACCGTGCTGAAATGTTCCTATTTTTGCCCGAAAAATCCTCACAAATAACGAAATTTTCAAGTGATCAAAAATCCTCACTGTTGCACGATCAAATGTGAATTAGCATCTTCAAAATGCAAGCAACTCTAACGAAGTTCACAAGCCTCCGGGTCAAAAGTCCCGTAGTTCACTTAGATTATGAAATCAAAGTCGAAGAAAGTGTCCGATTCATGCCAGGTGCGATGGTCATGACGAAAACAAGCTTTGAGAAAGCCTAGACAGAGCCATCGATGCTTTAAACGCCGCACATGCATATCCAAACATTTACCTTATACGACATGATGGTGAAACTACAAATCACAAAATTTTGGAGGACAAAATGATGGTTGATAACAAAAATTTGGCATTATTAAAGCACATTTTGCACGAGCACGAATGTACAACGAGAACAATTACACTGCCAACGAATATTCCATACCCTAATGCACAGCAAGAAAGATGTAATATATCGGATTACGGTCTCAATTCTTCTACATCAAACTAAAAACATCACGAGGTGACACAAACACTATAGGATAGTCACTAATAAATACGGAACTTTATATTCCTTAAAAAAGGGGGTTCTAGTAGATACTTAGATCAACTCGTTAGTACTGCTCTCAATGAGAGAATATGCTGTTTCAAACCTTCATGTAAAGTTTGCTACGGATTAAGAGGTAACCTGAAAGCTAATAACAAACCGAAATACCACTACCATTGCGACGGAGACCACTCGTGACTTAAATTGAACAGAAAAAACTCCTGTGGTTGAAGCGCAGAAGCAATGCTGAAGTATCTAATAGTACATACTACCTTTCACCCAATCAACAAAGCTTGCCATAATATTATGCACACGAATCCAAAAACACGGCAATTTACAGTTGGCTGATTTGCTTTGACCACTAAAAAATTCAAAGCATTTGTTTGCTTTTTCCACATTTTTGAACAATAAAGATTACTTAAGTCTGGTGTAACGTATTCATGATTAAAACATTTCTAACCTTTCTTGTTCTAAGGTGCGATGTCTACTGGCACATGACTGTGAGTCAGTGCTAATGAGGCAGAATCTAAAACATAGAATTTGGGATGTTCCACACCATACTACGCCGAAATGAGCGAAGAAGCTGTTGTACTACCTCTGTGTGACCACTCGATACCTGGCAGCCCTTTTGATACCCGTTTAACCCTGTACGCGCGAACCAACCTTCAATTCACTCCAAAGCCCTAACTTCTCTACTCTAAGAATACATGCACTCTGACCTACGTGATGCCTTCCCCTACTAGGAGGAAGCCTCTGAGCGTCACAAGCACATTAAGCACAGTACCGTAAACCACACTCGGACCTAAAGCGAATCGGAACCAGAGGAGCATCAGCGGCAACATCACCTACTCAAGCACAAGCAACGCAACCAATCCCAGCAATTGGGACGTGGTAACGAAGTTAAATTGTACAAACGGCACAATAAACGATGTTGAACAAAGCGAGTATTGGAGCAATGCAAATAACTACTGGCGAGGTAGAACGTACAAAAGAGAACATTGCTAATAGGTAAAGTAACACAAAATGCTTTCACATATGAATGAGCTGATGGCGTTGAGACTGCTGCCTATTTCCTTGGTTGTGTAATGATGGGCGACCACGTCGTCTGGGTGCGACGCCGTTTCCGGTCGGAAATGCAGTGGCACCGCCGCGTCGGACACCACGCTCCCGTTCGACTCCCACGGGAGTAGAGAGCCTGTCGACCCGACGCTTGCTACGCCTAGACACCCCAAAGAAAATACTTCGGCGACGCCTCGAGAGCATGCCCACTGCACCAGTGCGCGAGGCCAAGCTCCGCGTCGTGTCTTCAGGCGAAGATCCATCAGAATCATTGCCCGTTGTAGAAAGTATCTCTCCGGCAAGATGTGTGCCTCCGAGGGCCAAGAAATTTTAAATAGTCTTACTTAAAGACATCTGGCTTCAGAAAAGCAATAGTTTTGACTAATGACACGAAACTAGAGCTATCGCTATTGTTCAGCGAAGAATTCATCACAATTCCGGAACTATGAAATCTTAACCTAATCGGGTGAGCCTTTCATGGGAGACTTGTAATGAGCCAAAAGTGAAAAAAAAATGGAAACGCACCAGGACTAGCTACATAATACTCAGGTAACAATCCATTTACGGGTCCAGAGGATATCTCAAACACCATCAGCTATTCGTAAATGCGTCCTTTCTGATGGATCGCACAAACGCAATACTGATGCAGTTTTGATACCACCTTAGATAACTCGTCCTTTATTAATCAAATATTATTTGATAAGACATTGAAGAGCATCTTACCTTTAAGAAATATTCCTTGTGATTTTTTGAGCTGCTGCAATTGTTCAATTTCTTGACGCAACACGTGTTCTCCTACGAACGGAAGACGAATGAATCATGAGACAACCAAGGAAGTAGTACCTATCGACAAATTTTGCTCAAATCTAGAGCCGATCACTTAACAATGCTCTGCAAATTAGACGATTATGAAAGGCATAAAATACAGATGACTATGAACTAAACTATAGTCTGACATACTATGCAGTTGGCGCAGTAGTATATTCGCTTCCGATGGGGAGAGGAAACGAAGAAGGGGTTTTAGAGGTTCCGCAAAATTCCTGCAGCAAACAACGAATTCAGGTGAAAAGGAGATACATGGTGGATAATAGTACACAGACGACAGTATACGGATGTCCAACCTCGCCTCTTTCGACCGCAAGTGTACGTAGGCGTAAAGGAACAGTTAGCTAGTAGAAACTTGGGCTGAGTTATGAAAATGACAAGTGAAGAACCACCGACATACAAAAAATATATCAATTCATGCACATACCAACCCTCTGCTAAACAATAAATTGTTGAATTTCAAGGAAATGCATTACTCAATGTTCAAATAACCTCAGAATACTGATACACCCAACCCTGCTCATATAAGTCATCGCATTTCGGTGAAGTAATCACAAAGCTGCGACTCTAAGTACAAGACTCTCATTCACCAGAAATGGAACTCTTCACATCAAAAAAATTGTCAACCAAGCAATTTTGACGTTAGACATACAGTTCATCGCATATGTGCAAAGTGAGATAATGCTTTACCACTACACAATTTAAAACGCTTGAACAATATTTTGACACAAAATTAATCTACGGTGGTATGCAGCAATTCTTCGGAGGTTCGGCCAAACACAAATCCCAGTCCGATTGGTTCGGCAATTTTGGTTTGATGATTGAACGATTTCGAGTGCCACTGTTCTTCGTCATGGTCCAACATGGAGTTGACGGGCTAGGATACATACCAGAAGGGTGGACTGAAGAAACAACTTCAAGCGGATTAGAGCCCACACTTGGAAGAGAGAAGGACCAAATTCTAGTGAGTGTTGTGGGCGAAGACGCATCTCTACTATTGTCCTCGCAAGTAGCCGCATCCTCAGTAGGACTTGAGACAGAGGCTGTTCCTGGTGTATCCAAGGAAGGTAATGAGTGAATAGAACTCTCGGAAAATGCAACTCCAGAATCTTGAAGCGATTCTATAGACGGTGGTTGCTTGACTGTCTCTTCGGTGGACAGGTCGCCAAGTTTCCCAGACCTTTCGCCGATATGACCAAAGCGCGTAGCCTGTAACATCCTCTGCCCAAATCGCCGCTGGCTAATTAAACACCTGCGAGATGGTCTGCTGCTCCCACCGCTTAATTGCGATTGGCCAGACATTGCGCGTACATGACTATCGCCATAGCTACTGCTCGTGGCCTTAGAGGGGAGTAGTTTTGGAAGAACATGAGTCAGCAAGTTTAGCTTTGCTGCGACCAGGTGTCGCATTCTCCGTCGTCGCAAAATCTCAACAAACATATCGATGCGAGCAAGGGTCAGGTCTATAAATTAACAAATTATGACCGAGGAGGAGAGGAAGTTGGAGGAGCATGCACAAAAAATAACAGTAGCATAGGGATGCGTATGTCTACAAGCTGACACTTCATGGTATTCTCACCTTAACTATTAATAATTTGAGAAATAACTGATTAGCCTATGGCAGTCATAGTGTACAGAGTTTTGTGAGCGACCCCAGGATTTCAGGCACATTAATCAATGGGCTGATGAAACTCTAGTTTCGAGAGAGGTAGTAACACTAACAAAGAAGTGCGAATGCGACTAAAATCCGCAAAGTAAGAAAATTGGAAAATAGAACGACATTGTCGAATCATAACCAGAATGTTTTGAAAAAAGACCATCCTACTTATACCTTTATACTTTAAACACCTGCATGTGCTATGCAACTACGACCGAAAGCAGGTAGAATAAAGGCACTTTAGAGCAACTGCAGAACATATAAGTACACCAACGCACCATCCACCGTAAAAACACCATGAATTTCGTTTAAGAATGAATACTGTGATGAGGACTATAAGCAAAAATGAGTACGAACAGCGCTACATAAGAACCATTGGTAAAACGAAACTCGTACCACGGTAAAGCTCATCGTCGAGGAAATCGCTTCTTATCCGTGCAATGGACAGCTCAGCATTATTATCATAGTCCTAAAATTCGTTTACAGGGCCAAACCAAGAACGTACGCATTCGTAGTCACCTCTCTTGGGCATTAAGCCCAGCTTCTTACAAAAAGATGGCGGAACTCGAAGAAGGGCTTTATAAATAGCAACGCGCTCATCATCTAGCTGATCTTTGGTACTCGATTCCATGATGTGCCTAAGAGGTTTATGGGTGCTACTCATGATCCCTGAGATGTAAGTGGACTCGTAATGTCTGCGGCATTCCAAAGGTGACAGATTTCCGAGTTTCGCCGATATATCCAACCTGAAACTACTTACGATTACACGCTTCACTCACCAGTTTCCAAGACCACAGGATTCGACATACTCCAAGAATGCGAGTTCTTTCTCCACTGTCCATACAAATTCAACCCATCGCGAAGCTGACTTCTACAAATGAATCGCTGAAATTCGATCAGAGTACCCCGAGAGCATACTTGTGGCACCTTTTGTGTTTAGAAGACTCAGCACCTAACCGAAAACACTAAAGATTAATATTAACGTGGGCTATTACGTTGGGGCAAAGCAAGACTTCTTGGCACTGTGTACATTGTATAAAAATAAACGGAAGCCTCTTGAGACAATAACAACAGTGCTTGTTCATATCCAGTTGCTACAACCGATAGGAGACCTCCAAAAGCCTCATCTCCAGCCCTTCTGAAAGTCTGGTGGCGTTAATGACTCACTAAAACAATCAGTCTCCCAAAATAATAATTATACTAGTATTGCGTAGTATGCAACTAAGGATACAAAATCAGTTAGTAGGCGAATCACAATGCACAGTTCTTTACTTCAATCTTTATATTTGCGGATGGTGTAATTGCGCACAACCTTAAGTTTATTGGTAACATATTCAGGGCAAAAATTACATCAGTCGGGCCGCTTTTCGTGAATTTTTATTGCAGTAATATTATGCTTTGGTGTTCATTATTGTTGCTGTTTAAGCTTTATTGGATGAAAAAGAAAACCTCGTATAGAACTGGGTTTTTTGGCACAACACTAGGGCCAGGTCATTATGCCAGTGCGGCATGCCCTATTATGTTCCCGTAACTGGCACTGAAAGTCAACCCTAGCTTCGATCATTGTATACTACAAAGAAGTATATCATGGCTTTGAATTGAAACGTGCTTTCATAAGATCGAGATGATGCGGTAGCTGCACTGGAAACCCTGAGCACATCTCAACCACAAGGGATTACCAGAACTGTGGAGGACTCATCAAATCCTAGTTCGTTTTGAATTTTACAGAAGTATAATTTGTTTGCAACATAAGTGTGAGATCTTCCTTAAAAATTGCATTTCTGACTTATTTCTTCATTTTTCAAACTGCTTAACAGCCTAATTAAGTGCCTTGTAGTTTCTGCTTTTTACATTTTTTTTTATTTTTTGTAAAGTATTTGATCCTTTAGAATGTTTGAAGCTGGATTTCAGAAGCGAGTTGAGAGTTAATGGACTTAAGCGCTTTAGGGCCAATCAAAAAACCTTGAGCAATGCACGAGAATCGACATTAGCTCTGATTGTAAATAGCTATGCTCAATGATCGCCTGCGCTTCTATTTTATCAGGAATGGCGGGAAAATCGAACGGGGTGGCTGAGTATGTAATATATACAAGTTTGTATTAGCGTGCTTTCATAGGTGAGAGGCGGGAACCAATTGGGAACGCGAATCACGTGCGTGGAACCGGCGATACGTCTCCCTCCAATTGATATCTCCTACTCACCTCATATGCATCCCATTCCCAATCCTTCCTAATAACAACTATCCAATAAATTATCCGCACCCAACTGTCTCTTGAAATCTAAGATTCAGGGCCCAGAGGGTAAACAGGCAGCTCTTACGGTGTAAAACAAATGTCTACGTTGCATTTTACCTTGGCGCCGTTTTGTACTGTACTAGCATGCAATGAATCTTCAAATCCCATTCTTATGACTGCCGCTGGCGTCAAAGTTGTGCCTTAAGTATCGTGAGAATTTGATAGTACTGCTTATCTTCGCTACTTTAGTCTTTATGAATGAATGGTTGACTATTACCCGATTTTATCAAAGTAGGAGCAGCCTTGAATCTTTTTAAATACCACATTGAGGAACTTGTTGCAACAACTGTATTAGCTCCTTCCAAGTGTGCTATGCTTACAGCTATTTGAAAGACATGAAAGATCGGAGAATTCGACGGAGGAAATCAAATTTAACTGAACTCGCATCAGTCTGTTTGACTTAATAAGAGTGTTTACGAATGTGGAGAAATAGGTGCAAGTGTTTTCTGTGTTATTTCTTTCTCGTTATGTTTAAGTGCTTTGACGTTCCTTTATCAAATAACCCAACCGATTTCGATAGGCGACGCATATGTAGATTAATTTAACAGTGTAACAGTGCTATTAAACTTTAAAGGAAAGTTTGTGTCATTTCTGTCTGATGTAAGTATTTTAAGAAGACTTGTTTGCTCAATCGGTACATTCGAAGTAGCCAAACCATTTCATCCATGCTACAGCCCTCACCGTTCAAATAGCTCTGGACCGATCGGCTGGATACTGGATGAAGTGAGAACGATTTTAAAATGATTTGATTTAATTTGTATCATCCCCATTTAAAATGGAGCGGAATGCATGTTATAGTGGCACACGCCGCATTCATGGAAGGGTTGTGGTTAAGTAAAGGCATTGCTGCGTGATACTCGGTACTTGCTTTAACTCACTTTGCGCTCCTTCACACACTCATGTAGTCGAGCAGCCAATGATTGCCCTAGCAAGCGACATGAGCCAATTCCGTGTGCTTTGACAAGTCAGTGAGCACATACACGTACGCTCGCTCAGACGAATAAGTGACTAGAACCAAGGTCAGAAGACACTGTGTAAAGACAATCAAATATTTACGTTTGCACACAAGTAGTGAGAGAATGTCGCGTAACAGGAGCACTGCCCGTTACGAACGCGACTCCAGTCCTCCTCCTCCTCCTCATCTACCTTCCCGTTCACGCGCGGCAGGCAGATTGAGGCCACGTTTTGAGGAACTTGGCTTGAACTATGGCTTTGCACAGGCCGATCCAGAGAAGAATGTTGGCTATTGTTTCGTCTATCGTACGTTAAAAAATAAACTTTCTAAGGGTGGCATGGCGTGCAACATTCGTGCAGATGAAAACGAGATTAGACTTACAGAACTTGAAGGACCCTTGGACAAGCGGGAGAAAGTCCGGATTTTTACTCACGACATCATCAGTTACTACAAATTCAATCATAAGGCCAAGTTTGTCGCTATTTGTATTGATGCTTATCATCGGAGGAAGACTGGATATTGGTTTCTGTGTTTTGAAAGAGAAGGGCAGTTGTCGTATTTCTGCGAATATCTTAACTTTCTTTTCGGTTTGGATGTTGTGGATGCCTACGAAGGGCAAGATGGAGATAGAGTTAGTTACGTGGACCGAAGATCGCGAAGTGCCCGGTCATTCTTGCTGAGCCAAACAAATAGAAGCTATGACAGCGATCTATGCCATTTCAGAGGTCAGCAAGAACCTGACTCTTACGATAGTGGCTACACCGACTCCAGTAGCGAAGTTTATGCCTCAAGCGTCCTCTCCTCCCTCCCCCCTCCACCTCCTCGAAAAATGGCCCATCCCAAATATTCGCCCCAGAAATTTGCCAAAAAACGCAATTTCAGGCGTTGATGACACTGACATAAACTTGCTCACATCCCCAACTTGTATTTTTTGCAATAATTTATGCACTTTAGAGCCTTTATGAAAGTTAAGCTTTCTACACGGGCGCGCTCCTCGCACATCGCATTGTCATCCTCGTGTGGGTGTCTTGGTGAGCACCCACGTTCAGGCTGAGTGGTCAGGCTTACAACGGCGTGCATTGATACAAGGATGCGTTCGCTTGAATGGCACTCTGTCAAGCCATCCCCTGCACCGTCGAGCACCAATGTAACAACGCCCTGGTCAAGTTTTTATTATTGCAAATGGGACGTGAGAGTAAGGGATATGTCGGCCGAATGTGTGAAACTCGGCAAAGTGTGAAATTGGGGCACGTGCGTTCTGTGTTTCGGTAACTAAAATGTAGCAATACAGATTCGATAGAATTTTCACTCAGACTCGAGGTGAGAAGCAGCTAGTGATCTTTAAGTGAGAACGAAAGCACTGATAGGTTCATTTGCTCTGCTCTATCAGGAAAGCGAGCACTTGATATCAACATTGTTTGCGCAAGTTAAGAGTTTCATTAAGCTGGTTTTTACTGGCAGATTTGACTTCGTGACCCACATAGTTGGCATTTTTATAGCGTTGTTTTTAAGTGTAGGCGTAGAGGTCTTCATACACCAGAGTTAAGAGCGAAGAAGAAATTTTGCTTATTTATTCACTTCGTCTTGGCATATAAACTGGACTACTTAGTAAACCGCACCTCGTCAATGGGAATCCAGTGTGTTGTTGCTGATGGAATGGTGAGTTATGAAAGGCACAAATGGACTTCCGCAATAAAGGAATCCATTAAGTATTTGCAAATCTTCCCGTACCGGCTGTCGTCCATGAATGATTAGTGGAAAACAGACGAGGACAGCACCTAAATTGATCTCGCTAAAATGATGCATTGACGACACGTAAAAAGTCATCCTTTATTCATAACATCGTAGGCAGTTCAGTGTCGTGTCCCACAGATGACCGTCCATTCAATTTCTTCTTTACTTGTGACTTAATTGAGATTACTTTCAAAACCTTTAAATCTCCACTATTAAAATAGGTTCTTCCTGAAACTTGACACGGCACGCTTTTATCTTCTTTCACCTTGCCGAGCAGTGACTGATCGACTAACAATTGGTGGAACATATGATGGGCCATGCAATCGCCACAGGTGACCCCCTAGTGGTATGTGTGCGCGTACGTACGCTGCCAAGTAAGGAAGAACTTGCAGTGAGAAAAGTCGTGGTGTGGCGAACCGCGTCACTCATTGACACTTTATGAGAGAAGTTAGCTTTATGTCTCAAATTTAATTATCTGACAAGTGATCAGTGGTCAGCTGCCTAATGCTGGTTGAATAGACACACATTGAAGGTCGATTCATTTGCTGACCTTAATCATGAGAAAAGTGCTTCCATAAAAGGTTTAATTAAGGGCCTACTTGATCGCATTTCGTTGAAAATCAAATGAAGTTTAGTGAGTCAGCCATTAGGATCTGGTCGAAGCTTCCTCCCGCCCTCTGATTTCTGCTTCCAGATAGGATCATCTGCAATATCCATCGAGAAAGTACTGTAAACTCCCTTTACGTCACGTGCCACTTGGGCGGCCGAACCAAAGGTAGAATTTGTTGACCTCTCATTACTTTGATGAGGTTTCTGCATTGTTTCATTCTAGTCTTCGCCTTCATTTACTGCCAACTACTCATCCTTTACCATCAGCTAAGGAGCAAACCAAGTCCGTCTGCCATAGTCCTGATAAAGTCACAAGACTAGCTCATAGGCTCAAGACCAAGCAAAATCCTTTCACAGAGTAATTTAAAGAATTTTTGTGCTTGGATCGGAGTCACTTTTGTTGAGCTAGACTGCCTCATACGGAATTGCATTTCCAATTCGCGTTCTCAATCCCAAATGGTAGCGACCGTGGAGAAGTAAGAATTAGGCAAGATTCTAACGACAGGAATTGAAAGGCATTTGTTGTTAAGATTTGTCATGGAAAATAAAATGGCTTTGGCTAACAATTTTTATTAGCTTTCATTAATTCTGATTTATCCTTTTTCCTGCGCTAGTAGAGTTCAAAACACTTTCTTAATTGGAGCATCTTTGTCTGACAGCGCTTAAAAAATAATGCGTTATACTAATAGCAACAAGTTTGCTTTCACAATCAACACAGGCATAAAAATTGACAATGTTCTTATTCTTTATGCGCACGACTACTGAATGTTTTGAACAACCAGCCAAGCATACATTCAAATGCTGAATCAACAACAATGCAGCTTAAGAGCCAAAGAAATCACCTCTACGTGCAAAACACGGGGTGGAGCAAAGTTGAGCTAGTGATTTTTAGGTTTGTTACAGTAATTCTGATTGTTTTCCCACTTTTTCATTAAAATGTCGGGGTGAAATGGTATACGTTGGTTGCCATCATAGCATTAGTTATCTCCGTGGCGCAGGGTTCCGACCTGATGGCTGGTTCCGAGGCTGTTCTTACCGTCAGTCAAGCGCGTTTCGTGAGTGAGCACAGCACTCCTCTGACTCAATTAAACAAGGGAGGTAGACCGAACCTAATTAGTTAATGAAATTGTGCATCATTAAGTAATATTTTGGCTGTACACTGTACTTCATTTCAGTGGTTGCCTATCAATTCGAGATTCCGGCATATTTGTCTGTGTTTGTGCCTGCAGGTGAATGCACATTCCAATTTTCCAAGTTCCTTTCAAGTGACGCATTACTTTCACCCTTGGATATAAATTTTTATTGAAATCGACCACCTCAGAAGTTTTCTTTTCATTAAGTTTTTAACTGTCACTTAAAAATTACACTTAATAAATGTGCTGCATAATAAGCAGAACTTCGTATCTACCAATTGCCTAATGGATTGAAAATTGTTTGTAAATTTGCATACCAGCAAGTGTGTTAAGCTTCGCCTCTCACTTCTTGAAAGTCCACACAACTACATGCATTTCGGAAAGTAGACGTTAATCAACAATCGGAACTTGTCAATTAATCCTCTTTATTTTGTCAAGACAACTCTTTTCGCAAAAATTATGCTTATCCGTATGGCCATTGAAAGAGCATGAATCTTATGGCTTTTAATCAGCAAAGGTCGTTTTAATGAAGACGGCGAGCCTGACCACCTGGAACGTGGTACAATCCCACTTCGAGACGTCTCGCACAACCCTAGCCCAAGAGGAAAATGAACTTTTTTGTGCTTGCACACTAGAATAATTACTTCCAGTCTAAACACTCCTATTAAGGCGTGTTTTGTCATTATCATGCTCAATGAATCTTCTCATCCCCTCTGCAACGCTGGTAGAACTGGCGCAGAAAAAATCATCCTAAGCAAATCGGATATAATTCGAAGCACGAATCTTAGTCAACTAAAATATCAGCTATTCAAATTCCCTTGAGCGCTAAGATCTTGATCGGTTTGTCGCTTCTTAGCTTTGGACAACTTTTTCGCTTTCACCAAGCCTCCTATTATTTTTTAAAAAACTTGAGCATTCTATCAATAATTATTTATTAATTAAACAGCTTAAACAATTATCTAAGTCTCTGCGATTTGGATATCGAGGACTTTTGAAGTGGAGACGAAGAAGCTAGTGCCTCCACCGAGAATACGCCACAGGGTTGGTGCTGAGGTGTTCCATAATGGTCAATATCCATTATGTGACTTGCAACGGTGGTGTTCGCCAGTGGGCTCCCTCTTCGAAGCTCTGCTCTGGCATTAACGGAGGTCGCGGAAATCGGCAAACTCATTATTTGTTGGGGTGGGAGGATGTAGACAGAGGACTGGGCTACAGGTAGACTGATGTTTGAATCCAACCTGACCACACGTGTCCACAACTTAGTCAGGTTGTTCTTTCCTGGCTTTCGGGACAGCGAGAAGTAGGACATGTTTTCGTCATGTCGGGAGCGGATGTGGAGTTTCAAAGAAGAGCCTTGGGTGAAAGACGCTCCACATCCAGAACATGAATAAGGTTTGTCGCCTGTAAATGCAATTTGTAAGACCTCCTTTTAAAATCGAACGGGAATAAGTAGTTCATTGATGTGAGAATCGAGGATGTAATGACGCAATTTCGCAGGAATCGGTGAGGAATAGCAGTGGTCACATACGACAAATCCATGCAAGGTAAAACCGTAACGAAGAGCAGAAATTGGTAATGAATTTGAACGCATTATTTATCTTGCGAAACCAGTATGAAGTTTTAAGTAGAAATATGGTATACAGCATCAAACATTAACTTGTGGTAGCTTTAAACCGCAGGTTTATGCTGGCATCAGCTGAGTTAAGCGCTAACTCAGTACAATTAATTCATGCAATATGACTGTTTAAATTTGATGGAGGGATACGAATTGCAAAGTCCTCAGTTCCTTCGGTTAGGGGCACTTTCAGATTACATCAAAAGTAATGCCTAGTAATTCAGTGAATGGGTGCGAAACGCCGCATGGGCTGAGGCTCTTAAGATCAAAAGTAAATGGTAGTGTAGCAATCTTCAATCACCAATGACAGTCGTGTAAGGTGACGTAAGAAGAAACGCAAGTTTCTGCAGGTCTTCATAACCACTTGTTCCTCGTTTCTTTTAACGCCGATAACGCATAACTTTGACCTCCATCAATGGCAAATAAATCCTTTTCTAGTAAATACCTTCAGCACAATCCCAAACTTCAGCATAGGCAGTCTTTCTATTGTGTTTCTTAAACCTCTTTTCTTTGCAATGAAATATTTCAAATTTAAACACAGCATTCACAATTGAGGTGAAAACTCAACCGTAGGATGGCACCTGGCTTTGCACAAATACTTCTTCTTATGCGTTGGAATAACAGAGCTTAGGTTGCTCCGTTCTGTGATCTTAACTTTTTAAACATCAAATACTTCTCACTCACCACCATTTGAATTGTTTAGTTATCGAGTTTTCCTTTAATTTCTTTTATCTCTGCTTAGGCGTCAAAAAGTAGCTTTGTTTTTTGAAGCTAACTACGTAGGTTTTGATCGCCTAA